AAAAAAGATCCCCTTGCAATGAAAATACAATCAATGTTCATAGTCGTATAAATTTCACAGAATATAGACAGCAGCAGGTGGCTTAAATGGAGCTGATCCACATCAATATCCGCTAGCGGAAAGATGCAATCATTTTTGCGTTTCCCTTTGTAAGTATTGATAAATATGTGATCGTCTGTCTATGTGTGTGCTCTGCGATACTCGTATATGGGAGATATATTGACATTTTGCACCTCTTTTTTCGTACCTGCACCTGCTGGCTGCCGGCAAATGTAAATAAGCATAAAATCCAATTTTCCTTTAGCTCCCTGCATGTTTGCCAGGCTTCTTTGCGTTTTTCCTGGTTTTTCCATTCTTGGAGTCTTGTCAGTTTTTTTCGGGGGGCGCTGTCAGGACCACTTAAAGATTCGCAATCAACGCCATCAGCAGAAGGCGGCGGGGAGGTAGGCAGGTGATGGCACTGCTCTTTTCATCGGCTCTACGTTCATTCGGCCTGACAGCCGAAAGCTCACCGAAATTTACCCAATTTCGGTCGCACCATCACGTGTGCTGGTTGGCTTCAACCTTAAAGCGGATGTGGCACATTGCGTAAGGGTTTATGATTGGGACACGACAAATGGGGTCCAACTGCAGACTTTTGCGGCTAATCTGAATAACATAATCAGTTGTGTCGGGCAAAACAAAAACCAGCACAGAACTGACCACCACTCGCATATGTTACACATTTCAAACATCATTTACATATTTGTTTTGACAAAAAAAGGGTTCCAAGAAAGTTGGTAAGCTCGTTTGAGAACAGCTGTGAAAAAATGATACGAAAATATCCGTGAATCTTGAAACTTAATTTTAAAACAAGTTTCAGTGGATAAAATAGTGGTTTCAAAAAGCTAAATGTATATATGTTTATTACCCTCCTGAAAATAAATATTTAGATGGCATATTTTCAAGCTTCCATTGCTGAATTTCGATTAGCCTAAAACTGATAATAAACTAAACTTCTGTTGAGGCTGTTGCTGCTTGTCAACCGGCAGCAGCAGTAGGTACAATTCTATCGGATCTGCTAGAGTTGAACGAATGCCGGCGAAAATTTAACTGCGTGAAAAACAAAAGATAACTGGGGGGACTCGAACAAAAGCAAGCCACCTTTTTTGGTTGTTGCCAGTCAAGGACACTTTCGCCTGTCAAAGTTTATCAGTTCTACTCAAATTATTATGATGGCAATACGGCTGTCAGCCCTCGAGTCCGCCCAGCAAATAACGGCTTGTCCTTGAACAGAGTAGGGAAATGGGGACCAAACGAAAATGAGGACATGGAAATACGTGACTCTATGGTTAACCTTTTGGACACCCTTACAGACCCATTGTTTCTATTACAAGTGGAAATAAGATTTGTAATTAATGTGTATACAAAATAATCTTCAATAAGCTTTCGATTTTTTTCGTAGAAAAAGTTTAAATGAGAGCTACGTAAATGTATGAAATTGTTTAGAAAAATAATCGTCTGTTCCAAGTTTCTGGCAGATAGTTATGGTAATAAAGATTTCAATGCTGATCAGAAAAGCATACTCGTACACACTGTAAAGAATCAGCAAACATCGTCTCATAATCGTCATCAAATATTCTCTGAAAGGGTGTTTCAAAAGGGGGCGTATATAAATTTGCTGTTTCCTCTTCCGCGCTTATCTTCGTATTTGGTTCAATATGGTTCGGGTGTTAGGTTTATGGTCAATTTTAGATTTTCCTTTACTCAGTTTTGGCTTTCTTATTGTTTTTTCTTCTCTTTCACCCTCGCAGTGTTTTCTTTTGCATTTTTTCCCATTTTCCGTCTGATTTTATCCGCTGTGCAAACAACTTGTTTGCTTTCGTCTTGCACCGCCTTTGTTGCAGTTTTATTGGTTGAATTTAAAATCAATTGGGGTTTGTATTTTTGGCATTTCACATCAAATTTCACATCCCCGTACCAGTACGATTTTACTGAGTTCACTGATTCACTCCTTTTGTTACCTTTCAAAATCCTAATTTATACTTGCTTAATTATATACTCGTATCACAGCAGATTGATGATAGCTGATAATTTAAGCTTATTTTTTTCTAGGTTAAGCTTTTTTTGGGTTTGTAAATTTGCAAATGGGTAGCATTTGTCTCTATGGCTATAAATAAGCATCGGTGATTGCGGCTGCCCTACCTATGCGGTAAAAATTAAACAAATTAAATTTTAAAATAATATTAAAAAATTTAATGGTATGCTCATGGGAAGAAATTACCTACAAAAGGATTCGCAAACATATAAAGGGACCTGTTGCCACCTTAAAAGATTAAAGAACCAGCTTTAATTTGTTTTAATTTTCCCTATAAGTAAATATCCATTTTTATAGATCGCTTAAGCAAAATCCCTTCATACTGAAGGTTGCAAATATGCAAATAAAGACGGTTAATTTTAGATGGGGATGGCCCCCACTCAGAGCTAGGTGTCGGAAACATACTATAAAGTTCAATAAACGTAACGATGCCTGATTTTATGGGTCTGGGGATATGGATTGTGGCATTTATGAGGGTATAGTATAATTTATGCGTGCTCTTATACCCCTTTAGCATTCCTGTAAACACGTCTTTGGGCGTTTTGTGTGGTTCCTATAGCCTTTTGCTAGGCGAAACGTTCTTGTGCTGAATGCGTATTCCGCGCACACAATTCAAAAAGTAAATCGCACGTGGCATAAATTCTGGGGCGAAAATAACAGCGTGGTACTCAACAAACTTAGCGCCAAGTGGTAGGCGTAAAGGATTCCTTGGCAGACCATTAAATTCCTTTAAAATCAAGGCTCTACTTTATAGTCAGTATTATTTTTCATCTATTTTAAAAACACATGACAAACTATTGTACACTTTAAAAGTGTGAACAAATTAAGTAAGAGTTGGCAAAAAATAACATAAATATCTATGGATAGTTGAAAAGAACTATCTATGGGTTGAAATTAAATAACTAAGTTCTTAAAGTTCCAACTTTAATCTCTGAGACTCTGTGGATATATATCTTTAAATATAACTTAGATATAACTGTTAGTCACTCAAATTGCTCAACATTCTATGGAGCTGGTCACGCAGCATAAATTAAATCAATTAGTGCGAGACAGGAAGAGCTGCACAGTGTTTCATTGGGCCCAAATTTGTAAATGTCTGGCTGACAATATTCTGGTGGTATCTGTGGCCAGGGCCAAGAGGTCGATAAATTGAGTCGGGCATTTGACATGTCTGAGCAGTTGCCTGTCGTTGCCCGTCCAATCAAAACATTATGCCAGAGGATTACGATTCAATGATGAGCTATTTCCCTTGGCTAAGCGCAGTGTGCTTTGTTGTTGGAGAGTAAGCTCAAATATTACTTTGTTGGGGTGGATGTTCCGATATTCAAAGACCTTATTATTATTATTTATTTAAACAAATTCCCCAATCTGTAAGCGAGTAAGCTAGAGCTAGAAATGGCCAAGTGGCTATTATGTGGAACAAGGAACATGGTGGCACTTAACAGCTCACAAGTCACAGACATAAGCTGTCACCTGGACGAATATGAGAATCCCGGCTCATCAATGCACCGGTTTGGCCAGGACTCGCCATTCTGGTGCAGCCATTAGGGCCACAGCCAGCAGCCTAGAGATGTTCTGGTGAATGCAAACTGTGCTGTAAGCACACATTTCAAATGTGGACAGTATTCTGCTTTCACATGCATTCTTATGTATATATATCGTAAGTGTATATTCCATTCTTATCTTTTCCGGCAATTCGATTCGATTTCCATGGTCCCTGTGTGACGTAAGTAATTTTATTGCTGCCTTTTGACTGCTCACAAAGGCACTTCCCGTACCGTACCCGTTCCCTGCCCTCAAAATGCTTGTCGATTGCATTTTCCATTTAAAAGCTGAACACTGAACCGAGCCAATTTACCCTTACGCAAAAGTTTTTCTCTCCCAATGCAAATCGGAGTTGTGGCAGTTTCATTTTCCTTAGATCTACATAGATAGGCATTTCATTTGACTCGAGGCCAATACTGGCAGCAATTGAATTTCGAGCCAATTGAGCCTTTGATGGAAGTATGAGGCACAGCATGTAAAGTATTTTGGGTGGTTTGTTTACAAGTACTTATATGACTTATGTCATTCATATCCTTTTTGGGGCGGTTGCATTTCCTGCTGCGGTCAAAATCTAATTGAAATCATCCGCTTTCCATGGCTTTAAGGTGTGTCCGAGCCACTACGGTTTTTGTTCAACAGCAAGAGAGCATTGTGTATGTACACAATTAATCAAACAGCAGCCAAACAACGAGATGACAAAAAACCAGAAATATTAAATTATTCATACGCAATTTTGACCAAAATGTGTGGCATAAAACCACAAACAGCCGTCGCCCAATATAATGTTGATAAATTTAAATGTTGGACATGCGAAACAAATAGGAAAAAATAAATCGCTAGAGCGTTGTGACATCAAAATTGAGTGGCAGCGGCCCTGCTGGCCCTGCTTCCGTTGCTCCGAACGATCTCATTTGGAATCATTGGAATTGGGACATTCTTTGTCCACAGTACCAATCAGCAATTTCGGATGGGCGCGTACTCGAATGCAAGATGAATAAACGAATCGTATGTAAGAGCTCGATGTACTTGTTGGCGTTGTCTGACATTTTCTGTGTGAGTGTCAATTACTTACTGGCGTTTGTTCAACACTTGCGTCTTGTGATTAAAATTCTGCTTAACTATTTCGGATGATTCTTGCATTATGCTTTATAGATAGCTGTTGAAAGGTGAAACAGCATTGATAACATTTTCTTATTGTATATTTAATAGAAATTAAACTTTCAAATATTTTAACAATATTTGTTTTACGAGTTGGGTCGTCAAATACTGTTTGGTGAGTCAAATAATTTACGAATGCTAGTCCCAGCAGCCTTTGTAATATCAAAAGTCAACACTAAAACAATTCACACTTTCATACAAATCGTACAAATTGTTGCAAATGTAATTATATTTCTGTAAATTTAAAATGAACCACATCAGCCCCAACCGCTTTGCATCGGTGCTGCCCCATATAATCGGCATATTGCATTCAGAGCCGCATCAGAGTGAGTAAGCTAAGGGAACAGTCCGAGTGGTATATGGGGAAACTGTAATTGACTACTCCTATTACTCGTAGGCGCCACTGTGGATGATCTGTGCCACGCAGTGGAAGCGTGTGCTCTGATGGATGAGGCCATGATGCGCCACATATGTTCCTTCGACACCCTTACGGACGCCGTGTACTATGGGATGGAGCTGGGCAAGAATATGGGCCTACTTGCCCATTCGAATGGGATAATCCGTATTCCTTTCAAATTGGCCAAACGTAGTCCTGGGGACGAGAACCAACGCCATGTCGAGGTTGAGTACGTGGATCTACGGAGCAGTGTCGAGCAGCGGAAGCTTCCGTGCAACAGCGAGGAGTCTGTGTGCAACGCCTCGGATGAAGAGCTTCAGTTCAGCGACGAGAATGGGGAGCCTTGCTACAGCGTCGATGAGCCTCGCATCCCAGGCCGTGTACTCCGATCGGCAATGAATCCAGTGACGGGAACGGTAAGCCTGCTGATTCAACCCACTGACCATGGACCCACTAACAACCATCCATCGTAGAAGGTGGGTAATTCCAGTACCCATGGGGCCAAACACCCTGGCTAAGATCACTCCAGGACACCGGTGGCAAGGAGTGGCGTCGAAACCATGAAATTAAATCGAAAACAATCCACCAACGATATTTAATTTAATCCCAAAATATATCAGTTCAATCATTGACTTCCCGGTTAAATTGATTTATATTTTTCTCTCTCTCCGTATTATAAAACGTAAGATAAAACTTGATTCGTCCTACAGAAAGTGGACCGTGCCTTAAAAGCGTTGATAAAGGATCAGTTTATTAAATGATTTAAGCTATACAAACTATAGTTAATTGTACAGAATAGGACCATTTACTCATGTAGCTGAAATGAATATAATTTACTACTCAGTACCACTTTAATTTTTGCACATATGTTGTTTATTCACTAAATATGAATCGAATACCAAAGGTAGAGCCCTAAACAATATTCAGTGAAATTGCTTCAAACGATTGTATGTGGACTTAAACATTTTCCGCGAAAAAATCCTAATAAATTCACAAATATTTCAAAGAGGATAATTCCATCTCGCCATTCACTGAGTATACAACTGCCTTGGTCACTGTTCCATTTAAAGCCTAAACTTTTCTCGTACAAGAACAATCCAGCTCATTTAAAATTCTATTAACTTTTTGTCTGGCAACGGCACAGAGCATCCAACCTGCACACCAGGCATATGTATGATAGGAAAAAACACTAATGGCACATCTGGGAGGTAGAGGGAATAGATAGCACACCTCGTTGGTGTGCCACAAAAGCAGTACTAGGCGAAAGTGGCGAAAATTTGTTAGTCCTGTGGGCAAAGAAGAAAGTTAATTACTTGCAGAAGCGCCAAATTTGATAGCTATGGGAAAAGTATTTGAATTGAAAGAGCGCCAAATATAATAGACAATTTGATAGCTTTCGAATAAGCATCATAAGCATCATCATCATAAGGGCGTGAAACATCAGATACTGCAGCTCTGGCTGCTCCATAAGCTGAAGCAGCCGGAAATATTACGTACCTTCACTATATACATATTTATAACCAGATATTGAAACTTTACAGATCATTGTTCACTCATCCTTTAAACATTTGTGGTGTTTGCGATGAAATCATTTGTCTTTTTGTGTCAGTTTTCGAAATCAAAGGGCCATTTACCAAATAAATCTTCTAGAGTGACCTATAAAAGGTTCACATTTCCATCTGGCCCATCCATTGTGTACGTGATGCGACCCTTCCATCAAATGTCCATCATTTAATTGCATGGTTTCGCTATCACATCCCCATGAGGTCACAAAGATACAAAAACCCATGCTAGACTAAAACTAAAAGCGTTTTTGGGTTTTTGCATAAATATTTTACCGCTGTTCTCGCTACATTTATCTACAAAAAGAACTTCAGCGAACAACTGACACAAAAATGAGTTATTTCACTTGATTTGTGTGCATCCGTGAATTGTTTAGTTTTCCTTTGATGCCACATAAAATTTATAAGTGATAGGGGCTAGAGTGGATTTTCGCCTGTGGTCAAAGTATATTTTACCGTCATTATTATCTAAGCCTACGAAATTGTTGTTTTATTAGAGTGCTCTCACTATGAAAATAAAAGATAGTGCGTTTCATTATTCATATCGATATTCGAGATTCAGGTAGACTATCCTGCTGTGCAATCGTCCATTCCCCATGTGTCGCACGGAACAAATAAAAATCCGTGACAATGATTGACAGCTTTGCGCATTTCTCGCATCGCAATTGAATAGGCTTGGGAGGAGAACCCATAAAACATTCGTAAAATATGGATACAAAAAATTGCAGTAAATGCAGGTGTGCAGGTCAAAAAAATTGTATATGATATGCTCAAAATCGAAGAAATTGTATCTTTCATTCGTCGCGAAAATAAATTATAAATTCAAGAGTGACCAAATAGGATTGGCGAATTCTCTTGTACATATATCATAAAGTAATGCTAAGCAATGTAAGGCGATTACTGAAGCTTAAGCTGATGTGATTTTTAGCTCAATAATAATAATAATCTGTAGTAATTTTTCGGAATGAAGAAATAAGAAAAAAAACTGTCTCAAAACAGGATGGAATTAAAATTGAAATAGCAAAACTCAGAAATAAATATGCCCTTGATCTTTTTTTTCGAATTTCACCAATGAGTTCTCTAATATTTCTTTATCGAAGCATTCTGATTCTGATCAGTACTTTTCCTCTGATCCAGTAAGGACCACCAACTGTTGACTTCCTTAAATGAAGGGGTTAATTGTTTTGCTCGACTGTCTTTATCCAACCATGTATGTACGCCGCATACTTATTTCGGTTTTAAAAACAGCAGACCGGGGAGTACAGCACTCACGGTCTACCAGGAACACGTTTTGTTTCATTTGTTTCATCAAATCCTATTTATAATCCGCTATGCCGGAAATTAATTTCTTTAAAAATAGAAATTAAATCATAACATAAATCAACATCAAAACAACAGCAAAGCGGATCTTGTCACAACTGAGGAAATATTTCCTTTTGCTGGCGGAAAATTAAATTGGATTGAGCCCAGAGTCAAGAGTCCTCCTCTGGCGCTTGGAAATTTACATTGAATGCAATTTGCTGCTCTCTGGCATTTGGCTGAAAAACAGCAACCACGACCCAACACAAAAACACCACAAATTATAAAAATCTGTATGGGGAGCACTGGGAATGTTGACTCTAAAATATCGTATTATGAGACCCTCTATAATTTTCATAATGTTTAATTTTCTAGTGACTGTTGGGATTACAGTTACCCTGGCGAATGGCAAGAGAAATTGTTGACAGATTGTTGGGTCTGATATAGAATAGATTTATTTTTAATTTAAGCTGCTGCATATTATGAAATTGTAGTGACAGTTGCAAAAGTATTATCTGTGTCCTTCAGTGAATTAAATTCGATTGTTTTTACTCTCTCAAAGAGTTGACAAAGATTTATGACATTTTTCAGTCGTCCTCTAGCAAACAGAACCTCCAACAGAGCATCATCAATTTTAATCAAATCTACTTTGTCTTTCGTTCCAGACCCAGCATCACATGTGCTGTGTGCATTTCAACTTCAAGGAGGAAAAGCGAAGTAGTTTTCTTTGGTCGATATGCTGTTTTTATGGGTGGGCTGTAAAAAAGTACTTAAATTAAATTCCTCATATATTGCTCTTAAAGGGGAATCTAAAAACTATCAAGAAATGATGCCGATATATGGCCAATATGACCGATACCGGAAAAAAACGAAAATCGGAAAATAGCAACATGAAAATTGATGCCCATCTTTGGATTTTCGCAACCAATATTTTTTAATTTTTCCAGCATAGAATGAGATTTCTGGCCCCAACAATGGCTGCAATTATAACCTAACCGCTTTAGTATTTTATGGCCATTCTAAAAGAGTACAACACACACACAAAGTGAAACAAAGGCACTGACAGCTCCAAAACAATTGCACAACTAATCAATGACTGCCATCAATGAACGCCAATAAGAAGAGAGAAGAGTGCAATGAAAGTGGAAGAACGTAAAAACAAAAAAAAAACAAAACAATTAAACTAATTGTCGGCCATTTATACGCAACAAAGACACAGACACACTGTGCAAAAAGGGAAACCAAACACAAAATAAAACGGAAAAGTTCATACAGAAAAACGAAAAAGTTTTAAAGAAAAAATTGGAGCAGCTGGAAAGTTTTGCACAGCATCGAAAAGTAAACCGCTGAAATTACGGCAGTCGGAGGAAATACTCGGTTAGAGCAGGCATCCATTAACTTGTCCACTAATGAAACCACATTGAAAGACTAACCGGCAGCAGCACCACCAACATTTCTACCGCTGGCAACATCTAACTAATTGACACTGTCTTGTCGGTTATAAAATGCGAATTAGTTCGCTGCACAGCAAAATTCTGATTGCATTGCTCATACGACACGCGTGACAGACGTACTCCAATCGTAATTGAATGTACAGATTGCACACATTTGTCAGAAAGTTACAGCCTTTAAAGCTGATTTTGATTAAGATCAAGTTTAGTTGAAGTACACTCCCCGACACTTGAATACGACATACTAAAATGTACACTTTAGGCACCAATATTTCCGGCACAAGCCAAAGAAAACGGTGAATTTGAATTTTCCTCAAATCTCTATTCAATTTAGCATAAATTAAAAAAAAAATAATAGCAATATTCATCAAAGTAGATTGAGAAAAAAAATTTAATTGACATAACTCAAATTTCCGCTCCCAAAAAATGCGACACTTGAATACGACATTCGCATTGAAAAATTTTTTATTTTGGATGTGGTCGCGACCGGACATTGAATAAATTCTCAAAAATCAATTAGGGTGTCCTTATTACGAGAAAAAAATGTGGGTTATGGTAAGTCCGTTTCAAAGGACGAAAGCTCCACAATAAAAGCCTCGAAGGAAGTAGGTCCATCAATAATGAAAATAAGTGATGAAATTGGTAAAACTAGGTGTGTTCTGAGTGATTTCATAAAGAACGGGTCAAATTATGGCAAAAACATAAAAAACCGAACCAAAATTGCTACTTCCGAGACCTCCATAAGATCTCATCTGCGTGCCGCATCTAAAAAACACGACTAAAACTCGATTTAAAAATCGAAAACTGTACTTTTAGCTAGTGCTAAAATAATAAAACATGTTTTTTGGAGGACTCCACACCATAAGGGACTGTAATTAATAAAAAACCCCTCAACTTTGTTGCATATTTGATAAACTCGACTTAATGAAAAATCAACTGGTCCACGCCGTTTTAGGATCTTGCTCACCACAGAATAATAGCGCTCACACTGCTGTGAAAACTATCCAATTGTAATTCTTCTTTACTCCTCACTTCCTTTACTTCCTTGAGTCCTTATAAATATAAAAAAGAAACCCTTATGACTCTTCAAATTAAAATTTTTCTCCCTTTGAAAATGCTATATAGCGACAGTCTCTACTCCACGCCATATGAATATGCAAAAGTACGGGAGTATTCTAAGTTTTCGTCCGTTGGCTGAGGTTTTTTATTAATTACAGTCCCTTATGGTGTGGAGTCCTCCAAAAAACATGTTTTATTATTTTAGCACTAGCTAAAAGTACAGTTTTCGATTTTTAAATCGAGTTTTAGTCGTGTTTTTTAGATGCGGCACGCA